TGATATCATACAAATGAGCACTGTGATCCTGAGTTCTATGGAGCTTACTTCTGAGTAGCCAGGTTTACGATTTCATGGTAAGCTTGTTTACTCCAGAAACAACATCCGAGTCCGCCTTCGGTTCTTGCGGATCTTAGAAGGTAAGCGGAATATTCCTACCTATTGTCTCGGAGGTCAAATTTAGAAGCCTAATGTTACCATAAGCACCGTCCTAGGGCAGGATCTGGCCGAACTGAAGCACTTTAGAAATCTCGTGCATTGTGGGAGGAGATGAGAAGTCGGTTTCTACGAAAGTTAAGCAGGAAATAAATGCCTATTAAATGGATCTTACCCCCACGTAAGCGTAATATTGTGCAGCCTTACGCATGGGCTTAATTTCCCTGTTGAGACGCGCAGCCCGATCCTGGTGGCTCTTATACGCAGATCCTTTGCATGTTTACTCGGAAGTAAATCCCAGCAAGTTCGGTGCGGGGCATGCTCTTTAACGCTCCTGTTGGAGTGCAGCCTTATATGTGCACAACTTTGGCTGAACAGCCTCTATTGAAAGCGATTCCCACAATACGTATAACATTAGGAGACTTAGGTGACGTGGGGGCTTAATCCCAAGTAAGTATGTGCACAAAATCTTAGAATCGTGAGGCCCTATCCTAAGCCAATCGATTGGTATTAAATTATTTTAAAAGTGAAAAAGATTGGGTTTATTATATATCAAGATTCAATAGATCAACAGTCAATCAAATCCAATTTGGTTTGCGAGCGTGTACCTCGGCGCACTGTTCAGCTGTTTAAAAAATCCGAGAGTACGGAGATCAAAACGTTTCTTGCGAACTACCACCACCATAAGATCGATGAGACTTTTTGCCAGGGTAAAGTGGATTAGGTTGGCAACCGATTTATATGCAAGAAATCCAGTTTAATGATAGTAGAATCCCATGAATGCCACTCTCCATCCCCGTCAAGAAAAAGAAATCCAAACAAACAAGTTTTGAGATAATGTTCTATTTCCATGGCTATATAAACAATTAATCTCTTAAAATTAATAAACTGCACACCCGAACTGTGAAGCTAAAGAACTAGAGAAATGCTGGGATCAATTAATCCGTTAGAATAAGGACGAAATCAATGTTACTTAGGCTGTAATCCTCATCCAGTTCCAATGTTGGGAAGTGGCTTAAAGTTTATTGATTTGTTTAGGTAACGTAAAAGCTCTGCTAATATTATTAGTTGATATGGGAGAGGAAATTGCGGGTTATTCATAGTTTTTTCTCTGTGTTGCAAAGGAATTTTCCAATATACCTGAAAGATGGCAACGGGAATGTGTGTGGAATTATCCTATGACATAACAATGAAAAACTGGGCATTCTTAAACTTCATTGATTTCAGTGAACACAGGCTTACCTTTTTATGTCCCACGAATTTCATTGATAGGAACTTGGGGCGGGGGGGGCCATAACACTCCAGATTTTCTAAACATAGCAGTAAAAATAGTATTTACTAGCTATTAGAGTTGAAATGTCAAAATCAGAATCCGTTTGTTTTCGCTTATGGTTTTTGCTGTGCGGTATTTATATTGGCTTTATTGTATAGTTATCTGGAAAACTTGTCCTCCTCTGAGAGGTTTGATAAATATAATTATTTAACTGGGTGGCTGAATAAATTGACGGTTGGTGATTTCAGTGTGGGTTGCATTAGAAACTAGAAATACCCTCTTTAGGAAGAACCCTCTCCCCAAATCTTGAAAGGACCTAGAAATCTAGCTGCAGCAAAAATTACTCCAGACGTCTGTCAAGTAGGGAAATATTGCATTCGATATTCTGGGTAGTGAGAACAGCTAATTCTTGAAGGTCGTCACCCGCATCTCACGGGCGCCCCACGAATTTCTTAACAAGACAAAAGCGCATCTTAGGGAACCGATCTATTCACGACTTTGGTGTTGATTTGGTTTTATTTACTGTGATGATTTTCGGCTGTAATTTTAAAAAGGAGGCGAAGAGTTGACGTTCCGAAAAGTTTAGCACCCACCCGCCCACACGAGACAAATTTTCAAGTACAGTGAAAGTCACTTTTTAGTAGTACAGCACAGAAGGACGCAAATGCGCAGGCTGCTTAACTCTTAGTTTTAAAAAAGGACCGTTCCAAGTTTGCGTCTCACTGCGCAATCCTATGCGCATTTCACCAGGAGTAACACCTACTACTGTGTTCAGCAGGGATTATCGCAGACATCAGTATTACAGCCCTTGAGTACTTAATTCGGTTTTTGCAGCCCCATCAGGTATTTTTCAACTCCTGGGCTTTCTTTGCTCGCAAACGACCCCATCTCCAATTTGCTCTACGCGTGTTAGAGACGATTCAGCCAACCTGAATCTTAGTGTAGCTGATGGGCTGTATTGTGCTGTGGGCAGAATGCAGCCAGCCCAAACTGTAGGCAGAGCCCAAGCCAGTGACAGGCAGAGGCAGCACTTTCTAGGTTTATCGCCGTTTTAATTCCGGTTGAGTTTTACAAGAGGGATACTGAGACTAAGAAAAAGGAAGCGGACAGGTAGTGCCACCCGAACCTCTCCAAAGACTGGTTGCAGGTAAGAAGGCAGACAGGTGGGGGCTGGGTTGGGGTTGATGAAGTGATGCCCCACTTGCCCTAATGGACCAGCTGCTGACATTTCCTTTCCACGAAGAAGCCTGGGAATTGTAGTTCACCCCTCACGGAGCTACAGTTATCAGCGCCCTTAGCAAACTATAGTTCGAAGGGGGTTTTTTGTATGTGATTTAAGTGTGCTTTGAATGTACGGTGTATACATTGTTGTGGGCCCTTGTGCAAAACGTTTTGGTTCTTTTGGGAGACGGGCTTCCAATTTAGCTTGGATTTCACAGCGGTATCCAATTGCATGCCTTCTGATTGGAAATGAAACATTATGATGCGAAGAAGAAACTTAATTCCGTCACTTCAGAGTGTATATAAATTACAGGTGAATGTTTATGCGTAATATGGCTTGACATGACAAAGTTGCATTAGAATATTCCAATCCAACCCAGTACAACTTTATTGTACTAGCCATTGGCCAAGACAAATCTGAATCAAAAATAAATACAAGCAAAAGGGGAGTCGTGCCACAAATAATGGTCTCTATTTAGATCTCTGCGTCTCCCTTACAGTTCACTGCTAAATTTTCTGCAGTCTTCTTTCTGATCTTTTTGGAACCCAAAGCAAAATGGACAACCTTATGAGTCACTGAAGTGTTTACATCGTTTAGAAGTCATAGGACAGTCTCTGCCGTGGAGAGTATTAGAATATTGCGAGAATTTAATTTTTTCACTTTAATAACTTCCAGCTTTTTCGAAGAATGTTAAGTTTTTCTACTCAAAGGCTGGAGAGAGAGAGGAGAGGACGAATTCATTATATATATATATATATATATATATATATATATATGTATGTATATGTATATGTATATATATATATATAACTGTTGCATATGACAAAATTTTCGTGTATGATAATTTAATAGTATTTGTGGTTTGGTGAGTCCTGGAGACACCACGCTTTCTGAACACCCTAGATGGCCACCTCAGTAAGAAGCTGCCTTCTACTGAGCCAATTCATTGGTCCAGCTAGCTGAGTATTGTCCACACTGACTGGCAGCGACTCTCCAGGGTTCCGGACAGGAGTCTCTCTCTCAGCCCTAACATGCAGATACTGGGAACTGAACGTCGGACCTTACGCCTTAGCTACGGCCCTTCTCCAAAGACCAGCCGGTATATGCCCGTTTCTTTTTCCTGTATAGTTCAAGTTGCTAATCCCTTTCTGGTCTTCCAGATTCAGAATTCTTGCTGACTCCTTACTGGTTTTATTCAGTTTCGGTTCGGCGTGCTTCAAACGCTGTCGGTCACGTTTGTGCTTGGTGGAGGCGAATTTTAAGGACCGAAGGAGTGCTTTAACATAAAACAGAGAGAGAACCCTGTCTACGGTTTTACTCAGTGGCGTAGCGTGGGGGGTGCAGGCCGCACCGGGCGCAACATCTGGGGGGGGGGCGCTCGCACTCGCAGCTCTCTGCCCCTACCTGGCTCCACGGGTTAGGGGGCGCAAATTACTTGCCTTGCCCCGGGTGCTGACAACCCACGCTACGCCACTGGTTTTACTGAAACAGAAAACGAAACAAACGATATTTTAAATGGCTTTTCTATCGGTTTATTTATTCGGACATTTTAGGTAACATGCCACAGCAAAGCATGACAATTAAAACATTCCCAAAAGAGGTTAGAATTTTGTTACAGAATTAAAATCCGCAACAAAACACTTTAAAACGACCGAAGTACTGCATGCGCGAAAACTATTCCTCTCCAAGGTTGGGTGATGTTGGCGGTGGAATCAAGGTCTTACCTGTCAGCAAAACTCTTATTTAAGAGTCCGGGCAGGTTGCATTTGAAGGGGAAGGCAGGTCCATAGCCTGGGGGTCTGGATCAAGGACGACCTCGGGTTCCCAGTAAGGAAGGAAGTTTCAGAAGAGCATCCGCATCAATGTGTGGGCAGGTGCATATGAAAAAAGGAGCCTTCTGTTCATTAGATTTATTTCACGCTTCCTTGTTTATTTCATGCATCTAGACTGAAGTTTTAACAATAGGCTTTATTTAGAGCAAGGTTTCCCAATCTTTTGTCTCCAGCTGTTTTGGGACTACAACTCCCATCATCCCTAGCTTACAGGACCAGTGGTCAAGGATGATGGGAAATGTAGTCCAAAAACAGCTAGAGATTTAGAGCAAAAACCATAGCTCAGAGGTAGGAGTGTTTGCTTTGCATGAAGAAGGTCCGAGGTTAGAATCCTGAGTCATAGAGTTGTTGTGTTGGAAGGGGCCACGGAGATCATATAGTCCAAACCCTTGCGCTCATGCAGAATCTCTTCGCTCAACGAGAGGCTCCAACACAGACCCTGAGATTAAGAAGTCTCATGCTCTACCAACTAAGCTATCCTGCAGGTTTTGATGGGCCAGTGGTCAGACTTACAGTAATGGCAGCTTCATATACTTTGTCGTGTGACTTGGGCTCCTTGGAGGAAAGGCAGGCGGTGGTGATAATGATGGTGGCGGTGGTGGTGAATACTGGAACGCATACATAATTGGTTAAAAGGCAGACAAATAACCGAATGAAGCGTCTTTCACCTGCTGACAACTCTGTATGACGGAGTCTAGGACTGCTCTAAGACTTGTTTCTGCTGAAATTTTGTTTAGGGTCACGATGGCTGTTACGTGAGATGCATTATGATCCAAATGGTTACCTGAGTTACACACAGAATCATAGAATTATAGAGCTGGAAGGACTCCCGAGGGTCATCTAGTCTGACCCCGTGCGGTGCAGGAATCTCAACCAAATCAACACAGATCAGGTTGCTAGACATTTCCTTGCTATCCTAGGAACAGCTGGTTTTGGTTTCTTTGGATTTATAAAACAAAGAAAAGGGCCTGCCCGAAGATAGAGGGCCACGAGGAATTTAGATCTATCACCCTTTTAACTCTGTTCTGTGCTTGGTACAGTGTTTACAAAACTTGGGTCTCCAGTTGTTTTAGGACTATAATTCCCACCATCCCTGACCACTGGTCCTGCTAGCTAGGGATGATGGGAGTTGTAGTCCCAAAACAGCTGGAGACCCAAGTTTGGGAAACCCTGGCTTAGAAGAAAAGTTAGAACTAGGTCGTCGCCTCCTCAAGGTTCTAGTCCTCACGAGCCACCCACGGCAACGCCCTCCTTGCGGTGCCTCCCTCTGGGTCGATTCTCATTGATCTGTTCCTCTTCCTAGGGGGCTCTTTCGTGGTGGAGCAGGAGGAGAATAAGCGCACGAGGACCGCCTACACGCGGGCGCAGCTGCTGGAGCTGGAGAAGGAATTCCTCTTCAACAAGTACATCTCGCGGCCTCGCCGGGTGGAGCTGGCCGTCCTGCTGAACTTGACCGAGAGGCACATCAAGATCTGGTTCCAGAACCGGCGGATGAAGTGGAAGAAGGAGGAGGACAAGAAGCGAGGCGCCGGCGTAGGAGGGAGCAGCCAGGAGCCCGAGCAAGACTGCGCCGTGTCGTCGGGGGAACTGGCCGGGAAGGAGGAAGAGGAGCGCTCGGCGCCCAGCTTGCTCCGGGTGGAACTGCTCCCCTCCAGCCCCGACGCCTCGCCCAGGCGGCAGCAGGACGCACGGTGAAGGAAGCCCAGGCTCCGGAGCCTGCGGGAAACGCAGGAGGAGCAGATCTGGCAACCTGGCTTGGACGTCTGTCACCGCCGTCCCACCAGATAAGCCCTCAGAGGTCTCTGGTCCCATCACTTCCGAAGGGACAACCTGGTGCCCTCAAGGTGTCACTGTGGACTACAACTCCCATCAACTCTAGCCACCCTGATGCCTTCGAGATGTTCTGGACTGTGAGCCCTAAGTCAACTTGATGCCCTCTAGATGTGGACTGCAACTCCCATCAGCACTAGCCAGTATCACCAACATTCCCACCAAATGGATGATGGGAGTTGTAGTCCACAACATCTCCAGGGGACCTGCTGTAGACTGCAGCATCCCTGGGCGGGGGCAGGCACAAAAAGAAGGGAACTCTCAGGTGTGGGGACCGGGGGACCCTCCAGGTGTTGCTACAACTCCCAAAATCCCTGACCATTTGGTCATACTGGCCGGAGCTCTTGGGATCTGGAGTCAAAGGTTCCCTGCCCCATGACCTAAGGAAAGAGGGAAGGGAGGAAAACATGAGTATTTTTCCCTTCAAGTCTTTAGTGTCTTGTTTCTTTTTATTTTATTTTTAAAAAGCAATCTCAATTAAGAAGCCTTTTTTTTAACGTGCTTGTTTAAAATGTTTTTGAAAATTGGATATTTAAGTGATTATTCTATATTAATAAATATTCAGACACTGGGGGGAAATTATGTAGGTGTAAGTATAAGGTCATCCTTTAGACTCCTTGCATTAGGATGGACTTGGGAATATCATTCCTTGGTAAACAAGGAAGACACGAAACGTGTTTGGTGACTGGAGTGTGGGACTCACTGGAGGAAAGACGGACGGAAATGTAGTGAATGGGGAGTACACACAGCGAGATATTTTTTTCAGTCCAGCAGCCTGCAATAACTGTTACAGGATTGCAGCACTAACAATGTATGTACATAGAAAGGTGCTTTCAAGTGATTTAGAATGTTGGCCCATCTATATTATTCAAGCAAGCCTTTCTTGGAGATGCCCAGGGACTGAACCTGAAATCTTCTGCATGCAACACAGATGCATGAATGCTTAGTTGAGGCCCTTCCTGTGGGAATGTTCAGGGATGCAGGAGAGGATATATTGCTTGATTATAGCCTTTCCAACTTGTGTAAACAAGTACACAATTTAGCAGAGTAACATTCCCCTTTTAAAACTTGCAGCGGATGCGTTTGCTCAGGCTCGCTAAAGCCTCTATAATAACTGTTCTGGTATTTTCCCCTTATTCCCTCATAAAAGATAAGACACAGTCTTCTATAAAAGTATAAAAAGAGTTTACTCACATTCTGTTCACAATCGGATCCCAGAAGGCAGACTTAGCTTAGAAAAGTAACATACACCTGGAAACTCATAGTCTCATAAGGAGACTGTCCTCCCTTGGCTGGAAGCCAAGAGGGCATCTTTGGCTAAGCAAATGTTGCTTCTTCGATGCATGTAGTAAAGAAAAAGAGAGATATGGCTGCCCTGCCCTGTGCTTTTGTCGTTACCTGCACAGGTGAGGCCACGCCCACCTCTAGTCACATGCAGAGGAAGTCTGTCACAGCCCAGAAGGAAACAGGAAGTTTACCTGCTGGCTGGACAAACATCCCTCCCCATGTGTAAACATGTTCACTCTAGGAATGTTGTACTTGACTGCTCTTGTGTTTCACATCCCACACTTCCTTCCTCATTCAGCAGTAAAATCGGATGCCATAAACAATCCTGGATCCTAAACATGCCTACCTGAAAGGAAATTTCATTGGGTTTACTTTCCTGCAAGTATGTTCAGGCTACAATGCCATGCCCTCTAACCTGGGAGCAAGCTCCACTCTACAATAATAGGAGACACTTCTGAGTAGTGCTGAAAGGTTTCCAAACATATGCATATTTACTAAGGAAAGGAGGTCCCAGCCTACAATGGGGCTCAGTCCAAAGTCAGTGTGCTTTGTAGCCATAGGTCTATCTTGTCCCAAACCCTGTGTTCCACAGCAGCTAATAGAAACCTCAGGCAAGCCCACAAACAGGGCATGTATGCATGTCTCTAGCTCACTATTGTCTTCTAATAGCAGAGATTATGGCCACAGTCAGATAGCTTACAGAGGATAAGGTAGGTGGCATGTCTCACTTTATTAGAAAATCAGAATATTGGGTTTGTTTTCAAGATGTGAATTTATACAGGACAAGACACTTGGAGCATAGTTCAGCCAAAGTTAAAGCATTTTTTCTTGCCTCATTCAACTACAATGGGAGAATTAACTTAAGGCTGCAGTCCTTTTGCTCACTTACCTAGGACTAAGTCCCATTGAAGGCAGTGTGGCTTTCTTCTTAGTAGACAGGCATGGGGCTGCACTGATCTTTGAACTTAAGAGGACTAGGGAATCAACTCCATGCATATCAACTCAGGGGTAAGCCCTCCTGAGGTCCCAGGGGTTTACGTTTGAGTAGGCAGGTATAAGATTATACCGCAGGTATAAGATTTTTCATTCCAGCTTATCCCCCAAATGTATAAAGTGAAAGCCAACTCAGATCCAAGCCTGGCTTTTACTTCCTTTCATGTGAAACTTGTGCAGAGCAATTTCTACTGATAAGAAGGCAATTTGTATACATTCCCAGAATGGACAGCTGAGACTCTTGAAAACAGGTTACATAGCAATGTGCCTTGTGCGATATCAGATCATTTCTCCGTCCAGCTCAATACTGCCTTACAATGAGTGACAGCACCTTTCCAGGGTTTCAGACAAGGGATTGGCTTGGCACTACCTGGTGATGCAAGGGATTGATCCTAGGACAAGGTCCTGTTTTGTGCGCAGACAACTGACTCAGAGAGTGAAAAATTCAGAGAGATCTTTGATCCAACCAGGTGAGAAACACATCGGAAAGAGTTTCCTTGTTACATGGTTGTGAAGTGGCCTTTATCAAGGGCTGGGTGACTGGGCAGTGTTGTAGCTACAGATCAATCATAGCACTGAAATCCAGAAAGCATAAGATGGTGGAGGGTGGAGGCAACTACAGTGGTACCTTGGGTTACAGACGCTTCAGGTTACAGACTCCGCTAACCCAGAAATATTACCTCGGGTTAAGAACTTTGCTTCAGGATGAGAACAGAAATCATGCTTCGGCGGTGTGGCAGCAGCCCCATTAGCTAAAGTGGTGCTTCAGGTTAAGAACAGTTTCAGGTTAAGAACGGACCTCCGGAATGAATTAAGTACTTAACCCGAGGTACCACTGTACAAACAGGCCTGGCATCAGTATCTGGGGCGCTCTGGCTATGCCATGACCCACCAGGGAATATGCTCATATCTACAGCATCCATTCCATTCTTTCATATATATATGATAAATCATATATATAAATAAATCAGGGGTAGCCAATGTTAGCATATGGAGTTTATATGCAACAGCAGAAGTTGAGCTTAGGTATGAATCCTTGTTTGGAGCATGCTTTAACCCTGAAAGCAATATGTGAGTATGAAAATAAGAAAGCTAAGTTTATTATAGGAAACACATGACTGATAGAAAAGAGCTTCTAGCTAATTAAGCTGAAGATGCAAAGAACCACGCTTGCTCTTCTATCTCTGTGGTGGGTGGGGTAGAGACAGAAAGAAGATGTCTCCTCACTTGAGGTAGGATGATGAAGAGCAGGAAATGAGGTACAGACCGCTAGTATCAGTCTAACATCTGAAGAAAGGTCAGCACAGGTTAGGGCAGAAAGATGGTCTAGGAAGTTTGGAGGTTCCCTTCTCTCTCTACTATGCAAAACCCCATCAGCCTTAATACAAGCTGAGTTACATCCCAACACTTTCACATGGTTATAGATGCTCATTTTGTTATTTTTAATTTACATATATATTGTCCTTTTCTACAAGTAAATGCATTTAGCATCAGGGCAACAGAAGCAAAGCCCATTTTATTTTTGGAGTTCTGGAGGTGCTCTGATTTAATGAGTTTAAAATGTACAACCACACATTCCCAGGGTATTTCTTTTTAAAGAGGATTGGGAAACTTTTAGGTTTCTTTTTCTTTTGTTTATCAGGAATGCAGGAGCAGTTGTAAAGTATGGAATGATTGGGTAATCCTTCCACATTCTTCTCTTATCTGGCCGACACTTAGGTGTTAGTCCCACGGGAATCCTTGTTCTCAACACAAAGAGGGTTTATTATGGGATGTGGTTTTTGCAGTGCTGACCAAAACTGGTGACAAATCACTCTTGTTGCCACAAAGAAGCAGCAACCCAGGTTGTGCATTTTTGGGGATCCCACCTCCTTCCTGCCATTATAGTCCATAAAGTAGATAAGGCTGCTGCAATCCTAAACACACAAGCAGGGCAATCCTATACAGTGGTACCGCAGGTTACAGACGCTTCAGGTTACAGACTCCACTAACCCAGAAATAGTACCTTGGGTTAAGAACTTTGCTTCAGGATGAGAACAGAAATCATGCTCTGGCGGTGCGGTGGCAGCGGGAGGCCCCATTAGCTAAAGTGGTACCTCAGGTTAAGAACAGTTTCAGGTTAAGAACAAACCTCCAGAACGAATTAAATTCTTAACCCAAGGTACCACTGTATACACGTCTACCCAAAAGTAAGCCACAGTGTATTCCGTAGGGCTTTCTCTTAGATAAGTGTGCCTGAAGTTGCAGCCTCACAGGAGAATAAGCCCCACTGAACACAGCCAGTCTTATTTCCTTGAAAACTAACAGAGGATTGCACAGCAAGCCTAACTATCTCCTTATTTAATTTGGTCTTATGGACTCAGCAATGTAAGAGGAATGGTGCAGGTTTCCTAGCCGATGCCTCCAAACTTCAGCCCCTATTTATTGACAGGGGAAGACAATAATAATAAATAATAATAATAATAATAATAATAGTGCAGTGGGAGAGCACCTGTCTTCCATGCAGAAGGTCCCTACTAATATTAATACTAATAATACTAATACTAATTTTCATGTCACATTGTCAAGTTTCAGAAGAGGAACTG